TGTGCCAAGGGAGGTTTAGACTGGACATTAGGAAAAACTTCTTTACTGAAAGAGTGGTCAGGCCTTGGAACAGGCTGCCCAGGGAAGTGGTGGAGTTCCCATCCCTGGAGGTATTTAAAAGACGTGTAGATGTGGGGACATGGTTTAGTGGTGGACTTGGCAGTGTTAGGTTAACGGTGGGACTCGATGACCTTAAGGGTCTTTTCCAACCTCAATCATTTGATCATTCTATGAACAAGCAGAGCAGCCAGCCCAGGGCCACAGAAATGAGGCCAGCCACCGATGAAGGGTCATTCCCTCCATGAATCCCGACCCCCCACCCGCAGACACGCCGCTGCCTGTGGTGCGGAGCACGGCAGACAAATACCCCCAGCCTGTGGTACCTGCTGGGGCTGATCCCCGTAGTCTGAGGAGGCGACAGGGCCTCCAGGACGTGCGGCTGGCCCTCCTGGCAGAACTGCTTGAACATGTGCTTGTCATCGCCTGCCATCTTGCACGAGTAGCTCTCGATCCTGGGGAGACACACAGCACCAGGCGTGAGGCCGGCCCAGCCACCGGCCAGCAGCACTGCGAAGGTCCCGGCCCAGTGCGGTGGGCACTCGGACGAGGCAGCGGCACGGCCAAAGATCTCCAGTCCCCAGGAGCGACCTTCCCCATGCCGTCTGGTCTTAGCTCTGCGCAAGGCAACCAGGGCTGCCGCAAACCCATTTACTCACATGTATGTACGCATGTATGTGTGCCTGGATATATAGATGTTTACCCCAAGGAGGCACAGAAGAGGCTGGCTGAGCTGGACTGCCCTTCCAGGGGCATCACAGCCATCCCCACAAGCTCCCCCCTGCCAGCCCCCCGAGGCTGGCTGAGCGTAACTGCTCTTCCAGGGACATCAGAGCCATCCCAACAAGCTCCCCCTGTGCAGCCTACCTCGCTGCTAGCACGGGAAGCTCAAGAGAGAGGCAGAAAGCACACCTCACCGCGGTGGTGTCCTGTCCGCAGCACAGCAGCCAGCCAAACCGATGCCAGCAGTAAACCCGAAAAGGATCCCTTCAGCCAGGACCAAAAATAGGTCCAGAGCTGGCAAAGAACCAACTCCCTCGCAACCGGCCCAGCAGAAGGAGCTCTCGCTGCCGCCATGAGCTGAGATGGCCGCCAGCTCCTGAGCATCGATGCAGTGTGGCCAGGAGGACCCTGTCAGAGGTATCGGAAAAGCTTTTCCACGTGACTGGTAGGGGC